TCAGATTCTGGCCCTCCCTGGTGGGGCAGCGGGTTAAAGCGCAGCACTAAGAGGCTAAAGCCACTTCAGCATGAGTTCAATCCCCACCCTGGAGGTGACCCACATGGCAGGACCTCTCCTGACCCGCCCACTGCTCCCCTCAGCAATGCACTTCTCAGTCAACCTGTTCTGCTCCCCACTCTGTCTCTGGTGAATTCTCTTACCACCTGCACTTCGGGCCTGAACCCCAGTTCTATATGCATAATCTTTTTTTAAAATTAGATTGTAAGTCTTAGAAGGTACTTATGATTTCTCCCAGAATCCCTCTCTATTACTTTCAGCAAGATCTGAAGACCTTCTCCTAGGAACTCTGTGTGATCACTCTACTCTACCATAAGCAATCATCACAGGTTGGAATATTCTAGAAGGCTTTTGAGAATCTGTATGTAGTAACCACAGAAGCCATCTAACTCAGTCTCCTTTTCTCAGATAAATGGTCTCATCAGGGCACTCCTAGAGTGACTGAGTAACAGTCAGCTGGAGAGCCACCAGCACCCACACAACAGGGGGCGTTCTGTCCGCCCCTCCCGTGTGGCCTCAGTCAGGTGACCACTCAACTGGGAGTTTCCTGAGGTAGACTCTGTGTAGGCTCCTCCTGGAAACATCAGCGGACCCTTGGGGAGCTGAGCAAGGGCATCTGTGTGGCTTTCAGCTCACAGGGGAGCAGCAGCCCCTCCCACCTGTGTCTACACAGCTGCTTCAGCATCAAGCAAGCAGCTGGCCCCCCCGAGCCCCAGGACTGTCCTCTGGGGACTATGCAGACCTCTCTTCACAAACCTGGCCTTTCAGGGGCAGCTCTTCTGCCCGCTGGTGTCTGGGCAAACATCCTTGACTTTCCTTCCCTTTTCATAATAAACCTGCCCTTTTGAGTATATATAAAAAAAGAGGTGCAACCCTTGACCATATAGCTCTGAGGCAGAATGCTGTTAGTGCCTCCCGAGAGGACTGAGGTGGGGCAAGTACTCAGAGGAAGAACATTGTTCCTGACCTCAGGCTGGGTAGAAACCCAGAAAGCTTCCTCGGAACTGGGCCTTAAGAGTGAGTAGGTTTGGGTCTGGCAAAGAGAACCAGAGGGCAGTAACAAGGGGAAAGAGTGGACTTGTGGAGTCGGACCAAGGGAAGCTGGAAGGATTGTGCAAAGGGAGGCTGGTGCAGTACCTGAGTGGGGCAGGGACTTGATGCTTCTGGAATGTATTTCTTTTTCACACTAATGGCACCCCCTTTCCTTACCCCAAAGTATAACCCGCTCCATAAACACAAAGGTTGTGTGTAGGAAGTTGGCATCAATAAGCAAGTTCATCAAGATTGCTGCATCACGGTGTAGTGTTGATCTCTTTCAGATACTGTTAGGGTGCACCCATGCAGGCATTAAAACAAACGGCATGCCAGGCCGTTCACAAGAACTGGGACTTTCCATGTAGGATACTAGAAAAAGAAAACAACTCTATTTTTCTCTCCCAAGGTCAGTAGAATTTGGCCTTGGGTTTCGTTTCACGCGCCACACTCCCCTCTTCAGTATTTGACAGTACAGAAAATCAAGCCCAAGTCCAAAGCTGTGGTGTCATTAGTTAGAAGAGTGATCAAGTTTTAATTTATTTATTCATGTATTTTGCCTGTAGAAGAACTGGGGTGTATGTGAGCCAGAGGTTCGGGGTGGCGGGGTGGGTGAGAGGATTACCAGAGAGAGCGGGGAGCAGAACTGGTAGGCTGACTGAATTCACTGCTGAGGGGAGCAGCGGGTGGGTCAGGAGAGGTCTGCCGTGCCATGTGGGTCACTCCCTGGCGGGGGATCGAACTCAGGCGGCAGTGGTGATAACACCGAGCCTTAACCCTGAAGCCAGCAGGAGGGCCCTGATTGAGTTTTTAAAAAGGTTTCATTGCTTATGTTTTCCTATCATGATTTTTCTTTTAAGGGGAAAAGAAAAATCAACCTCAATGTAGCTGTTCATTGTGGACACAACTTCCTCAGCATTCCTGGCACCAGGCAGTGAGGGCGCATCGCCTCGACTAGCCGAATAGCCGCCATCAAACGCTTGCTTGTGCCATTTGTCGTCTTGGTGAACTTGAAAAAGGGCTTGTGAAATGTAGTTGGGCGTTTGCAGGTCCCCCCCCCCCCCGCCCCGCACAACGCTGTATCTCGGGTGCCCCACTCGTTTCTGAGGGAACATGAGCATCTGTCTGCATTTTAAAACGCTGCCCTGGGTCATTCAGTTTTGAGGATTTGCCCAATTTCCTGTCCCCAAACCACCCTCTGGCTTGTCCTCCAAACCCAGTTTTCTGCATTCACAAGACAGCAAAGTTTCTCTGTTCTTTTTCAACAACCCACACTGTGGGCAAGGAGCAGCCCCCCATGCTGGCCCCATGGGATTGTGCCAACCAACCCCTCAGCTGCCAGGCTTTAACTTTCAGCTATTATTTCCTTGGGCAGAGAAGAATATTCCTTGATGCGACAATAGCATATGAAAGGGTTTGTGCTTTTGTTTGCTTAAAAAAGACTTGTTTGGGGGATTCAGTACTGAGGTGAATTTCGTCTCCATGTGCGGTGTGAACTCTCACTGAAAACCTGTCGCCATCTCCAACTTGTCCGTATTTCTAAGTCCAAGTTTTCTTGGGAGTTAACTGCGCGCTTTCATGCCCACAGCGAGGCCTTGGCACAGAACTTTATTTGCCAGAGACTGTACTCAACCAGTCTGGGAACAGCCCCTGCGCTAGGCCATTTATTTCTTCATACCTGCATTGCAACTCCGGTTGTGGGCTGAGGCCCTTGGTTCTGCTTTGAGGAAGGGCAGCTCACCTTTCATAAATGCCAGCTAAGAGAAGTTATTGAACAATGTCTCACTGAGCTGAAGTTGCAAGGGGAAAAGATGAGTGGACTTGTGTCCCTGAGTCAAGTTAAGGAGAAGTTATTTTTATACCTCTGTAGCCTCCACAGAACCCAGTCTAGTCATGAGACACCCCCAGACAGATCCTAACAGAAAGTGGAGCTCCCCGGGAATCCTCTCCTCAAAGCTAAGCAGGCTGGTTGTCCCACACAGACAAGTATGAGAAGCTGTGACAGCCAAGAGGAGCCCAAGCAGACACAACTAAACGTTACATGATGTCTGGATGGAATCTGGAGTCCAAGGGGCCTTGGGGAAAGACTAAGGAAATGACTAAGGAAATACTAGTATGGGCTTTGGTTAGTAATGAAGTATCTGTAGCGGTGCATTAGTGATGACACTGTACCCCATTAATACAAGATGGGAAGGGGGGAGCTATGGAGGCGTGGCTACCCTGTTGGCAATTTTTCTGTGAATCTTAATTTAAAGCAGTTTATAGAAACATAAAATGAGCAGTAACATGGTACATTTTTAAAGCCCCATTTCAGTAGAAATAACAGCTCCAGGACAAACCTGGAGTTCAGAGACAGCTGAGTGGAGTTCCAGCCATTGAGAGGAGCTCAGAAAAACAGCGGCTCCCCTTCATTATCCCCAGGTCAAAGCACATGTAAGTGTCTGGGAACTTCCTCGGGGAAAGGCCGTATCTCCATCTTGAATAAGAAGTTTACAGACCAATACTGAGGCAAAGTGGTGTTGGAGATTTGCCCTAATGGATTCCCGTGCTATTAAGTCACTAGCTGAGCTTGCGCAGTCAAACTTTAAATCAAGTACTACTTTATACTGACTTGCTAATTTAAATAACATCATAGTATTTGAGTTTATAAATGTTTATTGTCATTTTTACAAAGCAAATATTAATAGCAAGAGGCAAAAGGTTTGCATAATATGTACAGAAGTAAAAAAAGACTTAAGAAGCAACTCATTGTATAAAATCAAGCCTTCTTTCCACTTTTAGACCTCCTTTAGAAATAATTTATTGTCAATCCTGAACTAAAGCACGGACAGAAGAAAAAAATTTACAACCATATCAGATGTGCTTCATTCCTGGAGAGTTATAAAAAGATGTAAAAAACAAAACTTAAGCCACAAATACTTTTATACAGAGCTAATACATCATGTTTGGTTAGGTACAGTATCTATGAGGTTGTACAAAATATACTTTTAATAAGGCTTCTTGGGGTAGTTGAGCTCTTACCACCTTAGAGTAGTAGAAGAAAAGCCACTTAAAACATTTTGCAATTCTGCTTTCTGGATGAGGTAAAGAAAGCGCAGTGGCAAAGCGGGCTTCACAGTTACACAGAACTAACCTCTACCCACCTTCCTCTCATTTATTTCTTGGTACCATCAAATAGGCAGGACAAATGCATTATTCACTCTGGCAAGAAATACGACCGAGAAGCTCCCTGAACCCAAATCACACACCACAGAAGTAGCGTCTTCATCATGATGTTCATGACTGACACTCATCAAGCAGGTCCTGGCTTACTTGGCTCCACCTGGAATTTCTCATCATTGTCAACAGATTTGGAAAAGTTGGAAAATCTATGTACCCAGAAAATACTGCCCTATCATTCATGCGTTTTGTTTCATATAAGCGCTGACATCTGAAATCAGTGTTAGGATGGATGTCACAAGAGCGAACAGGATTATTTAAATGCTAATGGCACATCCAAGCACAGACAAAAGACCGCCGTGGGACAGTGGGAGACACTGGACTGCAGATGGTGGTAGGAATCACTGGCCTAAGGGGACAGCAGCTTGATGGTACTGGAAAAAATCAAGTCCAACGTGTTTATTAGCACGTTCAGCTGAAACTTCCACTTCAGTCCCTGTATGACTTTACGAAGCCCTAACGTAACCTTGTACCGTGACACAGCCGTGCTGTGCCCACTCTCACACAGCTCCTCCCTGCCCACGTCAGCCTGCAGTGCGACGCAGCATGGCACTGACTAATGGAACTCAGCATGACATGACAGGAGGTAAAGGTGGCCTGGGTCTGGGTCAGCTTTCCGAATGAAAAGGATGTGCAAAGTCCCGTTGATTCTTCAAACAGAAGTGAAAGAAATAAAAAGGTAACAGAGAGACTTTCTCTAAATTTATTAGGGAGCTTGTTACAAATGTGACTGAATTTTACAGGCATGATTTCAGGGGTTCAAACAAGAAATAAAGCGTTAACACTGATAGTTAGCCTTCTCGTTACATATACAGGGGTAACACTGCCCAGACTGCAATGCAGAGAACCTTGTTTCAAATGGCCTGGCTTGGGGTTTTGTCTGAATGTCTCACTAGAAATGAAACCACCCATTTGAGGACTTCTCAAATAGTGACTTGAATTTCAGAACATAACAGAACATAACTTGGCAACTTTATTCTTCACATAACTACGGCATAATGGGATAAGTGTACTATTGCTGAAAATACATTTTATCAAAAGCATAAATACAAGTACTTGGGTTTACACTGGAAGTGAAGACTGACTCATTTCCTCTTTTGAAAAAGTATAGGGCATGTGATTTTTTTTTAATCTAAATGAATACTCCTAATAATTTTGGTATTGAGGTAATCTTACTTCCTTCTACCTTAAACCAACCACTGCTACCAATTGAACATGGTTTCCCTCAATCGCTCACTTGAGATGAGCCAGAGAAGCTCTACTGTGTAAATTACCTCCCAGTGAAACTTCACAGGAAACACAACTGATCTTTCTCATTCGATTCTGCACCCTTTGGCTGGGGTTGCTCTCTAGCTATACAGGGTCCTTTCCAGACAATAAAACTGAAATGAAGGTTTCCATTGAATACAACATTTGGCAGAAAGCAATGATTCAAGTTACTGGAAATAATATTTAAGTGGCATACCTTAGATTTTCAGAGAACATATAAGACAAAAATCCTCTTCTCTATAAAAATCAAGGACCAAGTTTATGGTGATTTTGATTTATAAGGCAACTCTGTATACTATAAATTTCTCCAAGGTCAACGAAGACACTTGTGTGATATTTCTTAAGAATTAGCCAAGATACATTCAGATTTTAGAACAGAACGTGAAAGAGGACGAGGCACATTTTATTCTAACTCATAATCACGAACTCTTGGAGAAACAAAAACACACCAAAGAATTTTAAATTATTTCTTTAGAGATGGGGTGGGGGGAACTGGCATAGAAAGTTATGAGCACCTTTTGATTTTGCTCACAAAATTTCATCTCCCTCTTCATATAGTGGTTACTTCAAAAGGATCTAGGTTTAGAATTCATTTCAAATGGTTCAAAAATACAGCCTGCAAGGAATTCCGACTAAAGCTCCAGGCTGAACACAAGCCTGCCCCTCAGCGCAGGTCACGCAGCCTCGTGCACTCTGGACTTGACAGAAAACTGGAGGCTCCCAGACATCACACACACCAGGTAAGAAAGTCACAAACGCTCCTGACTAATATCGGATCTGTGTGTTTTAGTCATTCTTGGTGGTAGTCAAGATGGGAAAAGTTGGAGATTTCTGCTTTGTCAGGCATTTGCATGGTTCATATAACAGAGTTCACATTTTAACTTAACTAAAATTCTCTTTATGCAGAACACTCACTTTGGCCCTCACTGGCATTAAAGAAAATTTTGGCCATTCAATGAAGCTATTTGCTAAATTACAAGACTTTCCATTGAAGAAAAGTTCTAATGTAACTGAATGCACACATTCAGATATCCATTAGCACTGAAATTATTCTAACTGTGAATTCAAACAATGTATTCTTTTTGGCAAGAAGCACTACTCAAACACGCTTGAGTTCCACTCTGAATGCTTGCATGGATGCGGGCTACATGTCTACAGCTCATGTACACACCAGGGCATGAAGCACTGGATATTGTGGGTATGATGGTGATGGAACTTCAAATGCAAGAGAAGCCAGATCTCTTAAAAACCACCCCTCCCTGGTTCAGCTCACTGACAGCTCTACTCTCATCCTGGACTGCAAGACATAACAAGTCTTGGGAAAGCTGGGTATCAATCATTTTGACCATTCTTTCAAAACTTCCTAGTCAATAAAATACCTGAGAACACAGTCAGCTTATACAGTAAAGTGACAGATCACAGTCTCAATCACAACGCTCAGGAAAAGGAGAGAAGCAGTCAGACTGCAAAATGTCCCTAGCCTCGCGCAGCTGCTTCTCCGCCCAATTCTAACACTACTAGTAAGCAGCCTACACGGCCTGTCTCTACTGCTGCAAACCCGTCATCCTGATGAAGTCACAATGTGTGTTTTTTACATCACAAAGTTCCTTTTTTGAGGGTCCATTTTAATTTGGTAAGTGGCTGGGGGGGGGAAGGGTTGTCAAATATAATCATCTTTAGGTGTGAACTGGAAAAATTACTACTCACCACCCTCAGAATTATCCTTAAACATTCAGAATGTACCTCAGAATGTATTGTTTATTATTTATAAACAACGGCACAAATATCATACACTGTATCTTTGAGAGATACACCAAGAATAAATAGGAATTCCAAATGATGCCTGGAATGATCTGACAGGAAAATACTGCCTGGGACGCTTCAGACCAAGAATCCCACCAATGGCACAGTATGGAACTGACGGGAAGGGACGGGGGAGCAAAAGGAAGATGTCTGTGGTGAGACGAGGGCTTCCTACAGTCAGCTCCACATCGTCTGAGGCAGGTATCGGTCTCAGTGTGAAACACATACCATCCTGGAGGCCCTGTTATTAAGCTGTTTGCAATTTTATTTACTGTTAGGCCCAGAGTGTCTCCCACATGGCACATTAAATACCTGACAATGAAGCAGGAAATGGGCAGATTACAGGCTGCTCATCACCTCTGGCAGAACGCCACCTCTGGCCTTGTCTTTTGCTCCCCCGTACCGTTTGTGAACCTCCACCTGCATCAGACCAGAAGCTTCTATGTAAACTTTAAAACACTGAGAATATTACCTTCGGAAAACACAGAAATTGAAAAACTGTTGTGTAAGCAATTTAAAAAACATAAAGGCAAAATGTGTGTCAGTCTATAGAATGTCATCCCACAGCTCAAACTGCTTTCCCATAGCCCTTTCAAACAGGTCGCTGTGAAGCGAGGCGCAAGTGATGCCACCTGGGCAGGGCAGGCAAAAATGCTTTGTTCTAGTACTGTATATTCTTAACCTGTATCTACACAGACGTAAGACACCTTCTACACTTGGCACTCCAGAAGAATTCAGTTTAAAAGTGGCAGAATTTAAAGCCTGGATTATACCTAGTCTGAGGTCTGGCAGGAAGTGACAACTTCACTCAAATGGAAGCCACAGTGAGACAGATCAAAGCCTAAAGTATTGGAGATGTGCTTGTTCAACAGCTCTCAGCCACAAACCAAAGTCCACGAAAGGACTAAGATTTCCAAGAAGTCAAACACAAAATCAAGATTTGTCTAAGTCCTGTTGTAAACTGCTATTTTAAAAAACAAACAGAACAATCAAGGAGACAAAAAGAGATATGAAAATAGCAAGTCTTGTGCACGTCACTGCAGCATGAGCTGCTTGAGGTTGTCGTGAAGAATCGTGTCTTTCACGTCCCGGAAGACGAGGCGCACGTTCTCCGTGTTGATGGCGGTGGTGAAGTGGTGGTAGAGAGGCTTCTGCTGCTGGTCCCGGCGCTTGCCGCGGAAACAGTCCACCAGGAACTTCTGGACGTCTCTTAAGCAGTGGGGATCTCCTTCAAATTCTGAGAAATAGTCTTTGATGCTCACAACCTGTACTTTCTCCTCAAGCAAATCTGTCTTGTTTAAGAAGAGAATTATGGAGACATTGCTGAAAACCCGGTTATTGACGATTGTTTCAAAAATGTTCAGAGATTCTGTAAGGCGATTGGTCAGTCGATCTTCCATAAGCACCTGGTCAAATTCACTTGAGGAAACAAGGAAGAGTATCGATGTCACACTGTCAAAGCATTCAAACCAACGTTTTCTTTCTGATCTTTGACCACCTACATCAACCATTTTGAAAGGAACATTTTTAATTTCAAAGCTGTACTCGTGAATGCCTTTGGTGGGTCTCCTGGCAAGCAGAATGTCTTGCTGTGACGGAATATACTCCTGAGAGAGAGAAAAACAGTGTCTTACACTTAGTAATTCAGAAATAACTGGAATTTTTAATGTACTGCTAACTGGCCTAGTGAGTAAAATACGCAAAATCTAGCGTTTTAATGATGTCTCCTGTAACATTAACACTCAATACTATGATCATCCTCCTTATGAAATCCCGTTATGCTGCAATGCCAGCACACAGGTTTGCTTCCAACCTCACTGCGAAAGAGCAGACCTACTGTTTTTCTCTCCTTTAGCACGTAATCATTTAAAAAAAAAAAAAAGAATTATTTATGCATACAGAAATGGGATACAGGCCTGAGGTGCAGGGATGGTGAGAGGCTTCACCAGAAACAGAGTGGGGAGCAGAACAGGCCGACTGAAGAAGTGCATTACTGAGAGGAGCAGCGGGCGACATAGGAGAGGTCTCCAGGGCTGTGGGTGGAACTCGCACTGAAGTGGCCAAGGCTGGGCTTAGCTTCGCAGAGCGGCGCTCCTCCCACTCTGTGCCACCAGGGAGGGCCCAGCACTACTCCATTTTCAGTTCAAGTCTCCATCAGTGGTCCTCCCAGCCCTACCCGTTGCTGGATCTCCACCTTCATGATCACTGCTCGCTGTTCCCTTTCAGCTCCAGCCCTTCCGCTCACACACACACACCTGCGCCCTGCTGCCGCTCACAGAAGCACGAGGTCTGAAATGTCAATGCTCACACGTCACTGCCTCGTTCAAGGTCCTGCCTCTTTCTAGGCTAGTCTAAGAGATCTTTTATTGTGAACCCAGGACTACTTTTCTCCCCCCACCCTACCACCCGACACAGTGTTCTGCTAACACGCCCTATTGCCATTGCTGGAAGACAAGCGTAGAAAACACCTGCTCCACGTAACTCACTAACCAAGTTCCCTGTGGGTCTGCTGGGCTGTGTCCAGTGTAAGGCTAAGTAGCGTGTCTTCACTCACTCTGGCAGCATCTCAGCCTGTGAAATGAAGGTGCCCACTCTTGGCCTACCTGCCTCAGAGTCTGGCAAGGCTCACAGGAGTCCTTCCTGAGGTTTGGATCAGTGGCCACCAGGCCCCGAGCACACGCCATCTCGGCGAGCCCATGACCACACTCCTTACGCTGAGTAATAGAGTCTTTCTTCTCAGCTACTATTTTCCCAGAACATTAACACAGTCTTTTGACCACTGAATAGAAGAGCCTTGAAGTTTTCATCAAGGTCAAAACTATCTTTAAAAATCAAGGCAAAATTAAAAAATGGGCAGGTCTTAGCTATCTGCGATGCAAAGCCACAAATTAAGTAATTCAGAACCCTACTAACTCTAGTTTCCACCTAGCTTTTGATTTCCTACCTATCACCCTAATAATTCGCGGGACATATTTTTTTTTGCTTAACACTTGTCACTCCACACGCAGTTACATTTCATTTTAGAAGAATAAAAACACATCAAGTGGATTAATGCGCACAAACATTCCCCTACTAGTGGGCGTTTAAGGGTGTTTCCATTTTTTAATTAGTAGAAATGATGCAATTAACATTCTCATACTTTTGCTTTTCTTTTGGACTATTTCCTGAGATTAAATAACCAGGACTAAGATAATGAAGTCAAGGCTTGTATGTGAATGACCTTGGACACTTAATGCCCAAGTCCTCTCCAGAAAGATGGTACCAATTTTCTGTGTGTGTGTGAATACGTGCGCGCCCGCTACCTGAAAAATGACAGACCCTTTTTTTAAATTTTCTAATTCCATAAAAATGAAGTTATTTATTACTGCCATAAGTGGTTTCTCACCTACTAAGGAAACTAAAAGCTGACTCATGTGAAGCATGAAACAGGACAATACAATCCAGTGCTGAATGGTGTGGCACAGTAACATGACCAGGACTGTGAACTCTAGAGCAGCTCCCCACATACCATGTGACTTAGAGAAGTCACGACCCTTTCTGCGACTCACTTTCCTTGTCTGTAACATAGAGAAGTGAACCTCCTGCGGAGCTGTGGCTACCTGACTCCGTGGGTGATGTGCTTAAGAACTACGCTTGGCACAGTCGGTGTGTTACCCGGGCAGCTGCGCCCCGCTCTCGTGCCCACCGCGGCTCTGCTGCCAGGAGTCCTCCCCCTGCAGAGTAGTGGCGGGCAATTCTCAGTGCCCACCAGAGAGGCGCTGTGCTCACAAACACGTTCATTAAGAAAACTCGCTGTCTTCTTTCCTACTCCTCCAAGTCCGGCTAGGTAGCGTGCTTCCCTTTTACCTCGCCCCCCAACAGCCCCCGCCACTGCCCGCATTCTCGTCACCTCAGGTATGAACAGCCAGGGCTCTCCGCCTGGGACCCATCTCTAAGCTGCTCCCAAAGCAGCTCTCCTAAAGCATGTCCGTAGATCATGAGGTTCCTTACGGCACGAGCTCCGTGCTCTGCTGACTGGTTTTCAGGGTGCTCCTTCTCCCTCCTTCTGGACCTGGAAGTTGTTTTGTACTGTCCAAGCTCAACAGAGCATGGCATCAGACCTGCATGAAGCTTCACATGATAGCCCTCGCTGTCCACTCACTTGTATGGCCTTTTAGCAGTCTGCTCTGATGTTAGAGCCAAGCACTTCATACTCCCTTTGTTACACAGAAAAGCCTCGTGTGTCCTGCCTCAGTGGGCTGTGTCTCCTCTCATCTGAAACACCCTTCCGGGCTGCACTATGACGCCTCTTTCAAAATTCATCTGTTGAAAGTTCTCACCTCCTCCTCAACCCTCTCTCCCCACCACCCACCCAGTGTGACGGTACTGGGGATAGGGCTTTAGGAGGTAATGAAGGTTAAATAATGCCGTCAGGTTGAGGACTTACGTGCCAACCAAAGGCACTGTAAAGACACAGTGAAGTCCTGACCAGAAAAACACCAAGCCAGCCAGCAGCTTGATCTTGGAATTTCTTTCAGAACCGTGAGAAATAAAGGTATGTTGTTGAGCCCCAGCCTATGGGATTCGGTCACACACTCAAGGGAACGAACCCAGGAAGCCAGGGCTTATTTCATGTACCGGTTCCCGCTGCCCTGCACAGTCAGTTCTCTGACCGCCCCTTGTTATGGGTGGAGAAATGGAGATTGAGAGATGCCTGCGGGCACAGAGCAGCTCTGGATGGAGGCATCCAGAGGACTGGCCACAGAGCCCACCTCCATGACTCCTGGCCTGCTCCACCTCCCGGAGGGTCTTGGGCTCCCAGATCAAGCTTCATGGAGAAGGCACGTCCGCAGGAAGCTGCTTAGCAAGGGCAACCCTGTGACTTGTCTGCCCTGCACAGGAATGGCGCCTGCTCGGAGCATGCTCAGGGTCAGTCTCCTCTCCTTCACCGAAGGACCACCCACTTTTTTCTTTTGTTGATTTCTGATGTGGCCTCAGGGATGTACGGAGCAATAAGACTCGAAGCACCTAATACCAATGGACTGGATGCAGTGTGGGCCCTCCCTGGTGGTGCAACTGGTTAAAGCGCAGCCCTCCGAAGCCAGCCACACTGTTTTGAAAGAATCACACCCTCAAAAGCTATCTGGTGAGTGTCAACTACAAGCTAGGCATCGTCGGTGGGCATCCAAAACGCAACATTTCACAGTCAAGAGGTGAGTTCTTGCCCTTAAGGAATTAGACTGTCAAAGACAAGTAAGCATATGCCTACTGCACTAACAGCATGGGGGGAGAGCAAGGGCCAACACTGAGGACGAGGGAGGACCTAGCTGATCAGCACCCCCCAGGAGGGCCCTCTGAAAAGGCAAACTGAGGAAAGCAGGTCATGTCGGCACCACTTAGATGGAAAACATGAAGTATCTCTTTAAAAATTAGTTTGACTACTAATTGACTACTCAGGTTTCTCCGCATATGGCCTACGCTTAACTCTTTCTGAAGGCTTACCAGGCGGCCAGACAGAAAAGGGACAGTGGAGCAGGTCTTATCAACAAGCGCAGTAACGTGCACATGAGCAAAAACAGAAAACCATGGAGACACTAACTCTAACAGCTGGATCAGGCAGGAGGAAAAACTAGTGGCTTGAGGGCGGGTAGAAAGCAATTCAGCAAAATACAGAAGAAGATGGAAAACATATCCTGCTAGAGCAGAAGAAAGTACTTTGCCCACACGTCCCAGACACATTAGTAACAGTAAGCTACCTTTCCACTTGCAACAGGTTTCGTTTAGACTTTCCCTCCAGTTCTATTTTTAAAGTTAAAAACTTCAAGAACCCATAAGGTCACATTAAAATTTGTAACAGAAATTTGCTTGAGGATGAGGCAGGTGAGGCTAAACCAAATTCAGCTGGTAACTGATGACTGGGGCAGTGGCTTACAGACATTTTTAAGCAACAGTGACCTGTCCAGCAGTGAAGCCTTCAGCGTCTCCCTGGAGAAGAGACAGTGCAGGTGCCCAGTGTCAGTGGAGGGCCACCGCCCTGCAGGAACCCCTCAACACAGTGGACACCCCTCTCGATGCCTCCTCTGCAACCACAGCAGCCTGCCACAGCCTCCACGGTCACTTCGCACAGAGAGCTGCCGCTGCAGAACTGCACTGGCTGGGAAGTTTAGAAGTCAATCAACCCACTGTTTTCTGTTTCTTAAAAAATACAAAGGACACGAGTAGAATAGATAATGTGCAATCTCATTTTCAAACATGGGAAGTCTTTCTCTAAACAGTTTCACTTTCATGAAAGTGTACAAAGCACTGACACAAGGAAATGAGAGAGATCTGGATGACAGAAGGGAGAAACGGCAGTGTCTCAGCTGAAAAAGAAAATTAACTTCATAAAAAAAAACAAAACTGAACTCACTCAATACTCTTAGCTACCAATCACTCCAACACGAAGCAAGGAGAGTCAGAAAACTGACACTAGGAAAAAGCAGCTGAGAGCTCAAGTCCATAATTTTTCTGTATTTTCTAATATGAATATCCTGACTCCTGTTTTCAAATGGAAATAAAAATAAAGATTCAGCAGAAAAACTTACCGCTTCTCCAAGTTTATCCAAGTTATCCAGGAAATATTTCACAGATTCCCCCTAAAAAATAAGAAGAAAATATACAGTTACTAGGATTTAGAAATAGATTTTGTCACAATAGTTCATACTAAACTGTCTATCTGAACACTTAATCCAGACACCTTGTTCCATCACCAACTCCACCACGAACAGTTAGCCCCGCTAAAATGTTCCAAAGGCCTGCCTGGCCGATGTCTCAGTGCTTTGTGTGACAGACACCCTGGTGCGCCTCTCTTCGGGTAAGATTGCACATATTCTATTTGATAGAACAATGTGTCCAAAGGGAAGATGTAATCAAAAGGTAAAAACTGCTTCTGAGAAAATGGAGATCTATAATTAAAATTCAGGCGGGCTTCTCTTTGCCTGCATTTCTCTCAAGTTTATGCAATGGTGGATATCATCAGAGGTGAGAACATGCCAAGGATGAGGGGAAATGAGATGAAACTGCCTTACATTCTTCCAGAACAACCATGTGCCTGGTCACACACCTTGGACAGAAGTCTGTGATGCTGTAGGCCCTCAACAGGCATCGTCCGAGTGGGCTCCCATTCCTGGGAGCCCAGATTTCTATCAGACTCTAACCACTTTGAACATCTAATCTGTAAGAGAATACGTTCCTGACAGGAGAGACCTGAACCTGAAAGGAGACTTGAACCCAGGACAGACCCGCAGGAGGGGAACATGGGCTTGGTCTGGGAGTCTCCCAGTCCTCTCTTCCTCTTTTGTGGGCTTGTGCCACTCACTCCCTGCCCAGGCCGCTCCCACCAGTCTCGACGGTGGGCTTCCTCTAGTCACTGGGGAATCACCCAAAGACCTCATCCGACAGTAGGTTCTGAGGGGCCAGGGGAGCTGATGCAATTCAGGTGACTTCCGGGACCACACTCTGAGTCACCAGGCCTTAAGGCAGCAGCTCCAAAAGTTCTGGCTTCAGGCTACCTTTCCACAATTTTCAGATTGTTGAGCTTCTTGCAGAGCTCGGCTATGAGGTCACAGCTATTGGTGTTTACCGTATCAGAACTTGAGAATGACAAAATTTAGCAAATACTAATTTGTTTAAAAAAAAAAAAATCAGTCAACCCACAAGATGTTACCACATTTAGCAGAGCCTAATGGCAGGCACACATGTGCTTCTACACTTGAACTGCTACTATAGGTTATTTGGTTGAAATATGAAGAGAATCTAGCCTTACCCAGAAACTAGCTCTTGCCTTCTGTTACCAAACCTACATGGAAGTGTTAGTTACTAGCTACTAGTTACTACTACTGTGGAAAGGAAGCTATGCAGTCTACACTGTGCTCGGGATGGTCTCCCGCCCACTAGGATTTGGCTGTATGTCAGGTGCTGGCCACATGCAACACAGTCAGTGACTGAGTCATTCAGACTTTCCATGACAACTCTGAGACCATTACGATACTGATACACCTGATCTCATCAGACAACATAAGCACAGGAACGTCAGCTCACAGTGGCAGGAGGATGCCATTTTTGCTAAATTCTGATTTTCACTTGAAAGTTTTTTGTAATATCAATGGCAACATTACTCTCTTTGAAGTATGGACTAACTTCATTCATTTTCTAAAAAATGGCTGTCACATGCCAAAATATAAATAAACCTTTTTATTTTTCTCAACTTAAACTGTTCCATGGAAGATACAACGTGCAGGTCCCGGGGACGCAACTGCTGGGAGCCACAGCAGCTGGCAGGGCTGTTCACCGGCAGAACCTGGAGACGCATATCCGTGGGCTGAGACTTAGTGTAGTCATTTTCACTGCCTAATTAAGGGCACTCTTAAGTGAAGCTGGTGTGTGTTTTAAATAAGATAAAGACCACCCCAGTGGTAAAAAGAAGAAAGCACTGAGCATGCTCCCTGATGGCCACTATGTACCATCAGTGCTAGTCAGCAAAGCGAGGAAGGAAAATAACATCTCAACAGGATTACAAAGAGCTAACAGGGCTCTGACCCCCTAAGGAGTCTGAACTTGGTCCTCAGCCATGTGTGGGGTGCAGGGTGAGGGTCGGGCTTAGATGTCCTTGTGAGATTATATAAGCAGTGGTGGGTGACGTTGATTTTTTCTGCACCTGGGACATTAGTACAGTGGTTATAAACATTTAAAAATGATTCTTAGCAGAGGGGAAGAATTTAAGACTTTCAGGAATTCATTTAGGGTTAATACAGAGATTTGATCAAATCTGAAGATTTTGCATTATATCATGCATTTTAATGAAAAGGCATCTTTTATTTTGATGGACAACGAAGTACACAGTGAAAGGTGTCTGGGCTTAATCATTGTATAACATCAATATTTACTTATGGGATTGTTTGACCAATCAAATGAGGTAACATGTTTACAGCACTTAGAAAATAAAATTCAAGGGGCCCTCCTTGGTGGCGCAGTAGGTTAAAGTACCGCATTATGAAGCTCTCTGAAGCCACTGCAGCAAGAGTTCAATCCCCTGCCAGGGAGCTGACCCACATGGCATGCGTGGCAGACCTCTCCTGACCCACCTGCTGCTCCCCTCAGCAAGGTATTTCAATAGCTCTGCCTGTTCTGTTCCCCACTCTGTCTCTGGTAAATCCTCTCACCCATCATACATTCTGGCATGTACCCCAGTTCTGTAAGCATAAATAAATACATCTTAAAAAAAAATTCTAATAGTTTTACCAATTTTGTTATACTTTAATAAACACCTTAGTTTCTTGTATAATATGATAAAAGACAGTCACACAAACAAAAGTCTTTCAAGTAAAGTGCATACTCAGTACTTATGTAATGTTAAATGCCTTCAAGTGAATATATTTCAAAGGATGGGTAGTGTTGTATCTTGCATCTATTGGTTTTGTTCTTGATTTTAGAATTCATGTAAGTTCATTGTGGGAAATTTGAAAACTAGGGAAAAACAGCAAAGAAGAAAACAGGCAATCACTATTAATTCTACCACACAGAGATAACCACAATTAAACATCTGGAGGTATTTCCTGCCGATCATTTTCATATTTTTACACAGCTGAAATAACAGACAAGTCTGCACCCTGGCTTTTCCACTCATGTAAATTTCAATGGTCACAATAATTTCCCACTTTTTATAACTTTCATAAAATAAGACTACTAATTTAATATTAGATTTTAATTTTAAAAAATAAAATCTTAATTTTTTAAAAGTAAATGCAATCACCACAATGAGATACCGCCTCACCCCAGTGAGAATGGCACATCTTCAAAATAGCAACAACAAATGTTGGCGAGGATGTGGAGAAAAAGGAACTCTCCTACACTGCTGGTGGGAATGCAAACTAGTACAACCACTATGGAAACCTGTTTGGAGGTTCCTCAAACTGCTAAATATGGAGCTTCCCTATGACCCAGCAATCCCACTCCTAGGTATCTACCCAAAAGACACAAAAACACTGACTGAAAAAGATACTTGTACTCCCATGTTTATTGCTGCTTTATTTACGATTGGAAAAACATGGAAGCAGCCCAAATGCCCAAAAGTAGATGACTGGATTAGAAAGATGTGGTACAATGGAATATTACTCAGCAACCAAAAAAAGAGAAACACATGTCTTTTGCAGCAACTTGGATGGAGCTGGAAAAGATCATGCTTAGTGAGATAAGCCAGAAAGAGAAAGAAAAATACCAGATGGTTTCACTCATAGCAGGAGTATAATGGACCAGGCGAGAAAATAACAAAAATAATGAACAACCATAGACCAGAGACATGTTGTGGGGGTGGAGTGGGGAATGGGATCAAAAACCGGTGGGGGGGGGAAGGAGAGGGAAATGCATGGGACTATGGTGGTGGCACATGGGTGATTTGGTGATGGGAAACCCGCGGGGATTACAATCGAGACGGGAAAAAAAAAATGTGCAAAATGATATAAAAATAAACTTTTGTAATAATTTAAAAAAAAAGTAAATGCAATCAGGCCCTCCCTGGTGGTGCAGTGGGTTAAAGCACAGCACTAAGAAGCTAAAGCCACTTCAGCATGAGTTCGATCCCCGCCTGCCCGGGAGGTGACCCACATGGTGCAGCAGACCTCTCCTGACCTGCCCGCTGCTCCCCTCAGCAGTGTACTTCTCAGTCGGCCTGTTCTGCTCCCACTGTTTCTGGTGAATCCTCTCACCGCCCCTGCACCTCTGGCCTGTACCCCAGTTCTGTATGCACAAATAAATACATCTTTAAAGGAAAAAAAAAGCAAGTGCGATGATCAACAGCTTTGAGAGTGTATGTAAGGCTCTCTGTCTCTTGAATCATGTCCTTAGTGATCTCCAAAGAATTATGAAGGTAAAAAGGTTAAATACAGTTAAAGACACCTACTACCACCAAATGCCGGAGAGGAGACGCTCCTCTCTCCAACAGTTAGAACATGGAGTTGAAGAGAGACCAAGCAGCTCACCTAGAGGTGCTCTGCAGACACCCCTGGGATGCGTGACGGCGCGGTGGCTCAGGGATGCCACTGATGGTGGCCTGGCCAAGCCCCAGAGCAGGGAGCACTGTTTCTAAGACATCAGCAATAAATATCCAGCTATACAACATTTTACTGTTGTCAGCATTGCTGTTTAGCTCAACTAATGGTCAAAAAAATGAAAGTTAAAGTAATCTTCAGATAGATTTATCTAAAGCAAAACCTACCTCTCCACATCTGAAAATTACACATTACACCTAATTCATCATTTCTGTGGCTACAGAGAAATTAGTATCTTCATTCTACTGACCTACAATGTCACTGAGATCTTTTGGAAAGTTACGAGCAGTACACTTCTTAAAACTTGTGATGAACCTGCACTATTCTAAGATATTCAACATGAACGATACAACAAAAAGCTATTTACTCACTGCTACCTGTAATAACAGAAGCTGGAAGTTCATTTTTCACTTATTAGTGGAATGTTTTCATAAAAGTTGGTATACTATCATGTGTCATCAATTATTTAAAAAAACATTTTACTTATTTATTTTTGCATAGAACTGGGGTGTAGGCCAGTGATGCAGGGAGTGAGAGGCTTCACCAGAAAT